CATTTCCGAGTGAAAGTTTAAACATTTATGGGGCAATAAAATTAAATGCTTTGAGTCCTCGATAGACCTGCACATCACAATACACGACTATGACAGCCTTCTTGCTATCAACCTTGACCGATTTGTGTATAATTTTGAGATTTATTACACTGCCATCCATAACACTATTTTTACGCATAGGCACAAAAGAAACCCTTCTCGAAATCGAAACAAAATATTTTGATTCTGAAAGAAACTATTATTCGAAAAAGCAGACATTATAAGAAACTGAATTTTGAGTGAAACGAATTTATTGAATAGGACTCGAACATTGCGTTTATCAGCTAGAATTAAATTGACAAAAATACATATTTATAATGTTCACTGTAAAAGGATAAAAAGTAAATTATGAGTTATATGTATAACTCTGTATCCATGCAGAACTTACAGGATAAAAATCTCCCTTTGCTCTTAAATCATTTTCGAATATGCGAAGGGTAAAAGCGTAAATTGTGGAAAAAAAGCTCAAAACTTGGATAAGCAATATTTGTTCACAGGCATAGTCAAAGACGTGGCAAAATCATTACAATCAAATTGAAAATTACGAGTGGCTCTATACGCGCGAGAGACAGCCTGCCCGGGCCAGAAGCAAATGTTCAAAGTTTTTATTTATTTTCGCTTAACGTGGTTAAAGTTGCACAGTATATCAGACGAAAAACGTCCACGTTATATGAAAAAACATATACGTTTTTGGTGGAAGCGCTCAGTTACTCACCGTGGTGTAAAAAAGTTAAAAGCCTCGGGAACAGGGTAAATTTGAACTTCCATCTTCGGGAATTGGACTTCACGTTAACAATATTACACAGTTTGCTCAACTCTGTTCGTAAACTGATGTTCACCTCCGACGAATGCCTGAACAGAAGCTTGCTTTATATCCAAAAATAACTTTTTAATCTTCATTGTAAACTTCGTCTACTTAAAAGCGTTCGACGTTAATTTAAATACACTGAGCGATTTTTATGGCACTCAGTGACTTAACTGTTTTATCGCCGATTATTTTGTATATTAAATAATGCAGTTTTTAAATGAAGAGTTCGACTTTGAGAACTATAAATCGAAGTTTGAAAATAGTTTTGAAATGTGTTTTAGGAGAACCATGCTAAAACACTTTGTGTGGAAGAAGTTCTCAGTGCTTCAAGTATTTTAATGTAGATAGCTATATTTATTAAGTATTATAGTCTAATGGCGAGATGAGAGTCGAACGTATAGGGATATTTTATTACATGCCGCATTATTATATGAAAATATTGTGTAGTATAAGAAAGTTCACACAATTACTTTCAGCCATCTTATAATAATATAAATAATAAAGTAATATAACTCATGCAGGAAATCATGACAGTGCCAAAGTTGGTCCAAAGTTGATCAATGCTGAACCAAAACTTGGTGAACAATACTAATTCTAGATTGGGCTGCCGTTATTGACCTAAGACTTGAAGAAGAATATTAGCCCAAAATTGTGTTGCCAGTATTGGGTCAAGAATTACTAAGAAAGATTAACCCAAAATTGGACAGCCAATATTATGCCAAGACTTCGTGAATAATCGTAACTCAAGATTGGGCAGCCAATATTGGTCTAAGACTTGAAGATCTATATCAGCACTCGAAACTTGACCGAACTTTGGTCCAGTATTGACAAGCCAATATTTGACTGCACAGTATTGGATCAAACTTGGCAAAACATTAATAACCCTAGCCTTGGCATTTGAAGATTGGCCGAACTTTTGACCAGTGACCAATATTGACAAAGCTATGCTTGACTTCATAGGTACTTACTGGTCCAGGTTTGGGCCTGCGGTCAAGTTCGGCATTTCCTACTTGAAAAGGTCAATAAATGCAATTAACAACTTGTAATGGGTAAGAAAAAGATTTTGAAACTTGAGACTTCCGTTAGTTTAGGATAGTTTTTAGAGAAGCAGGGGATATTTTTAGGTAAAGTGGCTGAAACACATATTCCACCCATTTACCAAATTAAGCATTTTCAATTGTGCGACAAAAAAGAAAAAGCGCCGGCAAAGGAAATGTGTAGTTTCTACGTTCAGTGAACATCTTTCCTTATCTCTATCTACAGGTTAACTATAGCATGATCAATGTGCACATTTTATTTACGTTTATACGCTACCAATACGTAATTATAGTCGATAAAGAGCACAATTAGGTACATAAAATTGTGGGAACATTGTAGAACTGTTTTTAAACTATTTCCTTATTTTCCCTAAAATTGCAATTAAATTGTGTTGAACTGAAAACATTTATATGGTAAATAAATTATATGCTAGTGAAAGCTGTGGGTTTTCTCCAAATAAATTATATATACACATATGTATAACTGTGTCAGTTGACTCATAAAACACTATTCATTAATTTACGATACTACAAAGATGTCGGTATAAGCAAGCTTCTACTGGAAGAATGTGATACACTAACCCATTCTTAGTCTGTTTGGTTGCCAGCAAGGACTGAGAATCAAGGTTTTGCCCTGCGATTTTTTGAGCTATTTCACTTCTTTTTGAATTGTGGGAGTTTAACATTTGGGGTGGATGTTGGGGAATCTTGATTGACGGCGAATATCACCAGAGCCAGACGAGACAAGACGTAATACGTAAAAAAGACGAGGCACTAATGTTAAAAGAAAACTAAGGATGTTTATTATCAAACATTATATTCTGACGACCTAGAGAATTAAAGACGTTTAATTCACCCTCCTACTAAGAAGTGCCAAAAGACGTAAAAGACCTGGTTGGAGAGTTTATATTCGAAAAGTCAGATAAGTCAGGATCGAAGGAGTAGTAGGGATACAAAGCAAAGAATAGCAAAGGGAGCAGGGCTGACTCGCCTTCAAAAAAAGTAAATCACTCCTATGCTCACAAGCGGTTAATTTAGAAATTCCAAAAAGATTGTTAAAGGTGTATGTTTGGAACGCGGCGCTGTACAAGCGTTCGAAATGTGGTATTGCGGGCGAATAATGAGGATACCGTGAATAGAGAAAGTTAGAAATGAAGAGGTATTAGAAAAAATAGGAGAACAGAGGACCCTATAGAAGTCAATAAGAAGTAGGCAAATTAGGTTGGTGGACACCTTCTCAGGCATGAAGCTCTAGTCAGAGACATATTAGAGGCAAAAATAGAAGTTAAGAGTAGTAGACAAATAGTTAAGGATATGGGTTGTTCTAGTTTTGGGGAAATGCTAAGATTAGCTCAGAATTGGAAAGAGTGGAGGTGCGTCTTCAACCAGTCTTAGGACTGACGACTTTATGACTATGATATTCGAGATACAATAGTTAAATGTGTCGTTCTTGTCCTCAGTGATAACTACAACACTGGAAAACTCCTAGAGAGTATTTGTCAGATAAGATGAAATCCTGTTTAAACAAACTAATAAAAAATCCTACAAATCTGTTAATTGCTGGCCTGTAAAAAAACAGCACACCTGCCAGTTCTACTGTAATAGAAAGTTTATCTTCTTCAAATAGCGTAATAAACTTCAAAAATCATTTGAAATCACTCACATATAAATTAGGTCGTAAAATTGAAAGAACACCGCGATAACAGTTATGTAACTTTACGGTTTACGCGAACGATGTTAAACATGGTACCGTCAGTTGACAAACAGAAATTTTATGTTTTACAGCACCTACAACCTACAACAAGGAACCGTTTAGTATCGGGTCTTTTTGCAGCGAAAATGAATTGTACAAACAATGGAGGCTTCAAAATTATGCTTTAAACACGTTCGGCAAACATGTTCTACGCGTCCCTCCTGGGTTCTTTTAACGGCAAGTATTTATTTAGCGGACTATTCTCAGGGAATGGCTTCATTTGAAATTTTGCTTCTTGCCCGGTTTCTCTGTTGGGATGAGCCTTTTTTGTGCTCTTTTCTTTCTGAGCTATCTTTCAATGTAAACGTGCATCGCAAACGTAACGAAGCTGTTTCGACTGGGCTAATTGTTTATTTTACATGGAACCCTCACTTGAGATCCTCCCAATAATATTGGAGAATATTGGAAAGCTGAAACTATGGGTTCATAAACAAACAAAAGATATAGGTCGAATTTTGAATATGAATAGTCCAGTTATTGGGAGATATTTTCATGTATAATAATTTAACAGCAAACTGCTGCACCATGACTTCTAGGATTCCAGGTAGTCCATAAGTGACTAACTATAACACAATATGCAACTGCAATTTACCATTAGGCTTTTTAATAATAAAAACAGTAAAAAGGTGATCTCCTTTATTTTTTGCATAATTATAATATAGAAAGTATTCAATTAATCGCGTTACCTTTCAATGGACAATTTAATTGTAATAACTAAAATACGTCTACAAAATGGTGTTCATTATTATGTCAGGAAAACGCATAAAAATGTTTTTTTTATCGAATTTCCAGATTTACATAACAATTAGACAATTTTTCGGGACAACATACACTCTGGCAGAAGTTTTTCTATGATAGCGATATAAGCAATTTAGGACATCTTTTGTTAATGCCATCATTTGAATGACATGGCAAGAACAATGATTAATCTAGCGGGCCTGAAAAATATTCGACGGGCCACGGGTTTCCTTGTTATAAAGTATCATTTCCTGAAAAGTCTTCGGTTAATATTGTAAATTGGTAGTACGTATGTACCTATAAGAACTGTCAAATATAAGGTCATTTTTAAGCTCTTTTCCAACTTATCCCATTGGGACAAGTAAAATTCAATAATATGTTATTGTTAAAAAGATCACAATGATAACTTGGAGTTGCATTTTGTGTTTTAATCAACCGTTAAATTTTTATGCATCAAAATACTCTATTGTAGAAGAAGGAGGTGGTGTATTATTTGGTCTAAACTCTAGAGGAGCTACAGATCTTGAATTTCAATATATGTCAGATAATTTAATTGCATAAAGATCACTGATTAGAATCGGGTTAATGTCTGGCCATCCCCTGAAATTATGTAACTGTTACTTACCTAGAAAGACATCTTCGTCGTCTGGAGCCACAAGATGTTGCGCAACTGTGGTGGCCATTCCTCCTTGGAGTCCCAGCAACGAAGGAAAAGGACTACGCGTATCGTTGCCCGATGATACAGATCGGCCAACTGGTGAGGACAATGCTATGCCAGGAAATAGGAGAGCACTGCCACACAGCATTACCTAAGAGCATCACGAGGTTCGTGGCTTCTCTTGCAAGGATTAAGGAGAAACGATACTCAGTCTTGATTCTGTAACAAAATGACATTTTATTGAACTACGTATAAGAATGCCATTAGTTCAAAAGCTTTAGAAATTGAAACTAAAAACGTCTTAATAATCCGAACAACGTAATTGTATAAAAATCATGATCTATATATATAAAAATCTCGCGTCACAGTGTTTGTAGTCGCACTCCACTGAAACGGCTAGACCGACTTTTATGAATTTTTTTAGGTATATTTGGTAGGTATAAGAATAGGTCGTAAAGTATATTTCATACTGCTAGGTGATTAGGGTGTCCTTATCCACAAATATTTTTTTTATTTTTTTGACAATTTTTCTTTTGTATTATTCTTTTAGTTATCATAAAAAAATACCTATAGCCCCAAACATTCACCCTCTCCTACCCCAAATCCACCCATTTTTTAATCGTGATTTAAGCATGTTTTAATTAACAATATCCAAACAATTTAACCGTCGTATTTAAAACAAACGCAGTGCGTGCAAAATTTTGTACGAATTACTGTTCGAAATTAATATTGATTTTCTTTATTTCGTTTTCCTACTTTTGGATAAAACATATATTGTTTTTTTCACTTTACAGTTAACTTTCATGAGATCAAACAATGGATAACTCGGTTACGTTAATGAAATACATTGAATTGAGAAAATGAGTAGTTGCTGTTTTATTTTTGTTTTTATCGGCGATCATCGTCTTCAGCAATCCATTCCCCTTTCTAGCATAGAGCCTATCCTCATACACAATATATTCCTTATTATTTATTTAACAACCAAAATATTCACTACAAATTATTTATGTGGCAGAACAACATTAACAAACGACCTATCCAGTCGCCTCCCTGTATGTACCTGTTGTACTTAATAAAGTTCTTGCTATTAGGTGGACAAATTTAAATAAATTCATAACATACTTTTCTTTTTAAATGCATCTTCCAATACAAATAATATTTTGTAACTTTACGCTTGAAAGCAGTCGCTTGTTAAAATCAGTTGATTGCTTTTTATCAGTTTTCCGATAAAGAAAATATAGTATAGATTGCGTATAATAAATGCCGCCGCGACATTAGAAGTAAAGGGGCGACTAGGGCCACTCCTCCCTTAGAGGGTGGGAGCAGTTAGGGGCCTTTGCGTGACAAATGAAGATCGAAGGCAGACTTGCTGGCGCCGTTCTTGGCCTACGTATTTAAATTGATCTAGATGCCTATGTATGTGTATATTATAGACAGCATTTACAAAAGTAACAAACAAAGTAACAGTAAAAAGCGGCGCCATTACGGGAACAATGAGTAATACCTTCGCCATTAGCTGGTAAAATTGATCAGAACCATTGTGGATTCATCTATATGTAGGTAATACTGACCGTTATATTAAGGATGTTTGGGAGGTACAATCGGAGACAGGAGTACATAAAATTCTTGATTAATTAGGTTTTGCAGCGTATTATAAGGTAAATAAATGCTATCTATACTAAAAAAAAGTATACGGTTTGAGTGAAAATTTGGAATTTGAAAATAAGAAATAACGAATAATATGGAAAATTTTTAACTGACTTTTGGCAGTGAATATGCCTTGATTTCAACTTCGAAACAAAAAAATATTTAGTTTCAATCTCTATTAATAATGAGCGTAAAACTTTTTAATATGTTTAAATAATAATTAAAACTTTAAAATTGCATTTATTTCAGACAATTATAAATATTATCATTATATTATCAAGTAAAAACGAGATTTTCAGCTAATTTTTCATTTTTTCCTCAATAACCATTTAGTGAATTTGAATAACCTTACGCTAAAGTGATTCTCCAGAGTTCAAGTTACTTATTATAAAAGTTTGAAGTTTCTGGTAGCTTTTTTTCTGTTAATAAAAATAAATTTAATCTGTTCGGTTAACGAATCTCCATAAAATGACAATTTTTTAAAATTTCAATAACTTTTTAACGGTTTAGTGATTCGATTTGTAATTTTTACAGGAGTTTTAGAATTGAATGAGGAACGTTCTTCCAAATTTTTATTTGTCTCGTAGCATTTTGACATACCTCCCAAACATCCTTAACGTAGTCATAAAAATTTTCACAGACGTTTTTCTTATACAAAGGATTTTTTTAATCCCTGAAGGAAGGAAAAGGGGATTCGAAGTTTGATGTATCGATCAAGGCGCAGCCCAAAAAAAAGTCAGGTCAACAAAGTTCCTCATCTATCTTAAATTCAGTTACTCCTAAATGCATGAAACGAGGGCTAAAAATTTAATATATCATAAAATTGAAAAAATTTGAAGGATTAAGAATTAAGTGCTCCGCATTAAGAGTTAATGTTAGATTATGATGGGAATATGGGTATGGTTTTAAGTGCTATGCGCTGTCGACAAGGGTAAATTTGGATGGGTTAGGGTTAGTGATTTCATAAAAACTTATATAAGTTAATATTGTTATATGTGGACCTTTTTTTTGTTGATAAAACTATAACAAGGGGTTCAAATAAATACTTTAAACAACTTTTGACTATGCTAGATTGGGCTGATTGAGTTAGGTTACGGTTCTTCCCACAGCAGCCACAGCCTGGAAAAAGAGTTAAGCTGGAAATTGAAAAATACTTCTAAATCTAAACAAATCACAAAAGTTGGTTACTTGCTAAATCTTAATCTTAAGATTTTCGTACAAGATGCTGATGTTATTGCAAAACGCAACGCTCCGAGTGCAAAAAGCGAACTTTGATTGTAATTAAGTTCAAGATTTTAATACGCCAAAATGTTGGAAGTTAGCAGTAAATTTCTTTCCTAGAACAGGATCTGCTCATAAACCGCCAGACCCATAAATAATACAAAGCCCGTGAACTATGTCGCGACTCTTGCCGGAATTATTTGACGCTCTTCCTTAATGAACTTTCGTGATTCGCGCCGTTGTACTCTATTAGCAATTTGAATTACAATGTTCTTGAGAACAAGTACCTTCTTTTTTTATTAAGTTTCCCTTAATTTATGATGCCGAAAATTACCCTTGTTCGTATCTTTAAAGTAGCATACGTAATATCATACATCGGGGGTTCTCATCAATGATAACTATTGTTGGTATTGGTCTTGCTGGTATAGTCTCGGTTTTGGTCTTGGTCTTGCTTCCTTAATATGGTACTTTCGTTTTTGTCTTTTTTTAATAATTCTTCTATGTACAAATTTTTCAATTTTATTATCACAATTTTATTAATAAAATTGTATTTTTCCAAAAATTTTTTACTTTTCACTTACATATTTATGTTTCCAAAACTAATTTGGTATTTGTTGAAATTGTTTTGACGGCTACACACATTGAGAATTGAAAACTGCATTAAAACATAAAATGTTTTGAGATTCCTGTATAATTTATGCCATTTCCGTTAATAACTCAAACTTATTTTTTATAAATTATTTATGCTACATCTCGAGTAAAAATTATTCTTTTCAATTTCACTCTACCGAATTACGACCAAACTAATTCCATACATTTCTCTAAAATATTACCGGAAAAGGTCCGTTTGCAGGACTAAACCGCCGATTGTGTACGAATGGAGTACTGAAACAGTACAGCATTTAGTACGAAAAGAACACGGATACAGCACCGATTNCATTTTTTAAAAATTTCAATAACTTTTTAACGGTTTAGTGATTCGATTTGTAATTTTTACAGGAGTTTTAGAATTGAATGAGGAACGTTCTTCCAAATTTTTATTTGTCTCGTAGCATTTTGACATACCTCCCAAACATCCTTAACGTAGTCATAAAAATTTTCACAGACGTTTTTCTTATACAAAGGATTTTTTTAATCCCTGAAGGAAGGAAAAGGGGATTCGAAGTTTGATGTATCGATCAAGGCGCAGCCCAAAAAAAAGTCAGGTCAACAAAGTTCCTCATCTATCTTAAATTCAGTTACTCCTAAATGCATGAAACGAGGGCTAAAAATTTAATATATCATAAAATTGAAAAAATTTGAAGGATTAAGAATTAAGTGCTCCGCATTAAGAGTTAATGTTAGATTATGATGGGAATATGGGTATGGTTTTAAGTGCTATGCGCTGTCGACAAGGGTAAATTTGGATGGGTTAGGGTTAGTGATTTCATAAAAACTTATATAAGTTAATATTGTTATATGTGGACCTTTTTTTTGTTGATAAAACTATAACAAGGGGTTCAAATAAATACTTTAAACAACTTTTGACTATGCTAGATTGGGCTGATTGAGTTAGGTTACGGTTCTTCCCACAGCAGCCACAGCCTGGAAAAAGAGTTAAGCTGGAAATTGAAAAATACTTCTAAATCTAAACAAATCACAAAAGTTGGTTACTTGCTAAATCTTAATCTTAAGATTTTCGTACAAGATGCTGATGTTATTGCAAAACGCAACGCTCCGAGTGCAAAAAGCGAACTTTGATTGTAATTAAGTTCAAGATTTTAATACGCCAAAATGTTGGAAGTTAGCAGTAAATTTCTTTCCTAGAACAGGATCTGCTCATAAACCGCCAGACCCATAAATAATACAAAGCCCGTGAACTATGTCGCGACTCTTGCCGGAATTATTTGACGCTCTTCCTTAATGAACTTTCGTGATTCGCGCCGTTGTACTCTATTAGCAATTTGAATTACAATGTTCTTGAGAACAAGTACCTTCTTTTTTTATTAAGTTTCCCTTAATTTATGATGCCGAAAATTACCCTTGTTCGTATCTTTAAAGTAGCATACGTAATATCATACATCGGGGGTTCTCATCAATGATAACTATTGTTGGTATTGGTCTTGCTGGTATAGTCTCGGTTTTGGTCTTGGTCTTGCTTCCTTAATATGGTACTTTCGTTTTTGTCTTTTTTTAATAATTCTTCTATGTACAAATTTTTCAATTTTATTATCACAATTTTATTAATAAAATTGTATTTTTCCAAAAATTTTTTACTTTTCACTTACATATTTATGTTTCCAAAACTAATTTGGTATTTGTTGAAATTGTTTTGACGGCTACACACATTGAGAATTGAAAACTGCATTAAA